CTCGACAACTGCTGAAATAGTTTTCAGTGTTTTCAATGCTCCGCAAAATTCTTGCACACAAAGTGTTAGCATTTTATCGTAGCGCCCCTTCATGTCTTGAGTGTACCTTCTCGTGACTGCTCTGCGCCATGATCCGATTCGTCCGTTTATTGATCCTGATGATGATCCAGCGTTCTTCTATTACTTGGCCAGAAGGGAATATGCTATATGCAACAATCAATTCACCTGTTATTTTCTTGCTTCCGCCAACTCAAAAAAAAACACCGCTTCCAAAAAGGCCGAGGGATGCTAGGATACTCCGATCAGATGTGTTGTGTAGTCTGGATCTATGCGGATAGTCGCAAAGTTGGTAATCTTTTTAAAAAGGGAAGTAATCGCTAATGGGCAATGCAACACTGGATAACGCAACTACAAAAGTTGCTCATCCAAATACAGTAGGTGTTCTTGTAGTTGTCAGTGGTAGAAGAGTTCCAAAAAAACAAAGAATTAAACTGCAAAAATATGGGGTGTTTCGTTGGTAGAAATTATGTGGTTCTTCTTCGCAAGCGCAAAAACGTAGAAAATAAACAAAGAAACGCAGAAAACGTAGAAAAACGTAGAAGAAGTAAGACGAAAAACGTGGAAAACGCAAACGCAGAAAATTAAAAAACTCTAAGCAGAGCCCAGAAAATCTCCGTAACAGTAAAAAGTACGTGCTACTGGGCGTGCTGTTGCCAATCGGAAAAAATACGTGTTATTGGACGTTATCAAGAACGCAAAGAGCGACTGCCGAGAAAGCGAGGAGCTTCCGTTTCTTTCATCAGTTTTGATAGTTCAAAGCAACCCTCTATCTTCAGCAGAGTAAATATAGAGAAGGTTTAATTTTTGATAAAATGAGCAAGCAATTGCTCAGCAATTTGCCTGGAATTAATACTTTCTGTTTTCAAAACGCTAAATGTAATAAGCTTGTCAAACTTGTCAAACACATCTTTTTCTTGAGAATGTCCACCCCCCTCCCGCTGATAATAGTTTAAGGGAAAAAAAAACCTTTTTTATCGATGAGATAATTTTCCAGTACGAATCGCCCCTGGCGTCTCATTTCTAGAATATCAGCAGGCGCGAAAGAACGCAGGATGAAATGCAGCTCGGGTAATCGTTGCACTGGCACTCTGTACACAACACGACGCCAATCGATAAATCCCAGAAATGGTAAAGCTGGCCGCAAAGAAAGGATCACTGGTATGGCGCCATACCGAAGTGCAGTAAGCAGTTGATCATGAAATGCAACTGTTGAGCCCGAGAAAAATATCAGCGCAAACATTGTTTCATTGAAAATGGCACCTAAAATAATGCCGAAATATGGTACTTACAACTGCGAAAAGAAGCATATTAGGATACATGTCGCGGAGTAACGTGAAAGGAAAGAAAAGTCGAAATTAGAAAAAGGAAAATACTTGTGAAAAACTGTGGCCAGTTATAGGCGGGCGGATCTCAACCGCCAGCTGATTATGTCAGCCAATTTTCTTATGTTTAATGTATTTAAAATGTTTTGCCACAATTTATATGAAAATTATACTTATCGTTTATCAGCTGGCGGATTTTCACCGTCGGTCAACAATCTTATATTTATCATTCTTATCGTTTTTTTTTTTTTTTTTAATTTAACATTCCGGAAGGGGGAAGGGAACTAGAACTCCGCCTTCTCCCCTTTTTTTTCAACTCATTCGTCTCGACATGGGATGGCTGAGTCCCTGCACCATCCGAAGAAGGCAAGCCGCTATTGCCCGAGGAAGGCTCGCATCTACTACCTAGGATAAGGAAGGGCCCCAGCTACGATCCGAGAAGAGGGCTGTGGCCCATTATACGTCCAAAAGGGGTGTTGAACAACAAACCGTGAAGCGGCTATGCCCCCAGTCTAGCCACTCGTTGGATTCTACAATCTCCACTTGTAATGGTCACGACAGTCCGCGGCATTTGATGGCTGCGAAGTGTATTTATTTTCGCGCTGTACTTCACAGCCGCCCAACTGGAAGCAAATATCTGGCGACGAAAACACCTTTCAACAAACTCTGTTTGATAAGTATTTGACGTTACCATCACATTCCACCAAAAGACACGTTTTTTACAGAGGAAGCATACAGTTCCCGAAAAACTGAATACAAGTCGCTTTTTTCATTAATCACCGAGTGGTATTATAAAAAAAAGACCGAGATCCGCC